CGGGGTTGCAATCAATGATTCTCATCATTGATGTTTCTGTCTCTCTCCCTCTCCCTTCCTCTCTCTGAAATCAATAAAGGCATTAAAAAAAAAATTAAAAATACACCCCTTGACTCAACAATGCCATGTGTACAAAGCTAGTCGTTATGAAAACAAAAGATGGAAACAACTTAAGTGACTGACAGATCAAAAATCTGTAACCCTAACCCAGCCGGCGTAGCTCAGTGGTTGGGTGTCGACCCATGAACCTGGAGATCAAAGTTCGATTCCCGGTAGGGGCACATGCCCTGGGTTGTGACTCAATCCCTAGTAGGGGGCGTGCAGGAGGCAGCCAATCAGTGACCTCTTGTCATCTTTGATGTTTCTCTCTCTCTCTCTGAAATCAGTGAAAAAACATTAAAAAAAAAATCTGTAACCCTAACATTATATTTAACATAAGCTTAATAAATGCTCTTGGTGCTTTTGCAGAAGAGCAGAATTTGCATCACTTGCAGGAAAAGCACACATTAGAAAAGGGGAGATAATAATTGTTCTTTGCACTTGAGTAAATGTGTGCTGTGTGGGTCACTGAAGAGAACAAAAGACTCGCAGGAGAATAAAAAGATTAGGTGGCAGAGATGAAGCGCATTAATCATGCAATCTTAGCAGACGGGTGAAAAAGGGATCCGCTCAGGAATAATTAAGATGCCATTATAAGAGCTGGAAAGATTATTTTAAGTGCTTACAGGTGGTAAAGCCAACCAACTACCAGCTTGTGATTATGAAGGGAACTGAATAAATACACGCCGTTTTTAAATGTTCGTCATATCCATAACTCTCTTGCACACGAAGATGTAAAAATATTTTATCTTCAGATGGTGGAAAGGAAATTTGGGATATAGGCAAGAAATCAAGTCATTAAAAATCAGGGCACTAGAGGGAGGGTAGGGACGCGTTTAGAAGTCAAACTCTCGTTCCCAGGGGTCAGGTGCTGTGGTGAGTTTGAGCCGAATTTCTCGGTTCGCAGTAGCTGGGCAGACTGAACATTCTGGAACCCACCTGGGGCAGGGTGGTTACCTTGAGTGATCCCTGGTGCCATGTTCCATCGAGCTCCCTACTGATTTGGGGGAACCTCATTACTAAGAGGGCTGGTTTTCCAACAGCTCTGTGGGCCCGAGTGAACCCACTGGGCAAGTTTGGGTTTGGACCCTCCTGGCTTCCTGACAACCTTGACCTTGGTCTGGACAGGAGGACAATTGGGCCGTGTTAACTGTTTTCCACTCTGCTCAATGCTCCTGGACTTTCCACGTCCCATCCACTGAGAGCTCCTTCAAGAGCCCCTCAGTCAAATGCAGGTCAGCTTCAGGGTGGGCGCCGGGGAGGCCCAGGTTACAGCGGAGGCTGTTCAGCTGCCAGCACCCAGCAGAGGCCGGTTCCCCGGGGCCCTTCTGGGCGAGGTGCACCTGTAAATTAATGTAGGTGTGGAAGTCGTTGTACCTGTGCTGGGAATATTAGGCACTAGAAGTTCTGGAAACTACTAAATAGTTATAATCTTTTTTGTTGTTGTTATTAATTCTCACCGGAGGATGGATATATATATTATATACATTTTTTTCCATTGATCTTCAGAGAGAGTGAAAGGGAGGGAGAGAGAGAGAAACATTGATGCCAGAGAGACACATTGACTGGTTGTCTCCCACACGAGCCCCGACAGGTGCCAGGGATTGAACCTGCAACCTTTGGGAATCGAACCCGATCCCCTTCAGTCTGCAGGTCGACACTCTCACTACAGATCCACGCGGGCCAGGGCTAATCTTGAAAACCACAAGATTCCTTAGGGAATGAAGCCTTACGTCTTAAAGTGCTATGTCTATCATATGATATTTTACAAAAGGTCCTAGGATGTGGCCCTTGGTCTGATGTATTCAGAACCAAGTATCACGAATGTGATAAAACACCCCAAGGCTACGAGGCATGCCCCGGGACACGGTGCTGTGCAGTTTGGAGTTGGTTCTTAGCATAGAAATTGATGGCTTCCAACTCTTGAATACACTTTTTCTGGTGTTTGTTTTGTTCGTGTGTTTTTAAAAATTTCTGTTAATCCTGACCCGAGGATATTTTTTCCATTGCTTTTCAGAGGGAGTGGAAAGGAGAGAGACAGACACATTGATGTGAGAGAGACACACCAATTGGTTTGCCTCCCACACTCCCCCTGACTCGAGCTGGGGATCGAACCTGCAACCCAGGTATGTGCCCTTGGCCAGAATCGAACCCGGGACCCGCTGGTGTGAAGGCCAGCACTCTAACCACCGAGCAACACCAGCCAGGGCTTGTTTTTATTTTTCACAGAGTGGGCCCTGCTGTCTGCAGTTGCCCGTCTGCTGGGAAGTCCTTGCTGTTTCAAGGAAAGAAGGTTCCCTGGATTCGACAACAAGAAAGAACAGAGCCCGTGACTGAGAGGCCAGATCCCAGCAATTGTCCCCTGCTCTGCGGCCTGTCGGTGCACCGGAGCTCAGGGCTGGGTAGGTTTTTTCTACCTTGTAACTACTGTTCTAAAAATAACCCTCAGGACAGTAATGATTCGCTTTAGGAACAGCCTGTACCTTTATCAATCGGAAAAAGAGGCAGGAAAAACAGTGACTGGATGTTCCTAATAGAGCGGAACTGGTTCGAATCAAGTCAACACAATTTTGTTGACCATTTCCCCCTCTAAAGACGCACACTTACGCCCGGGCTCGGCCCTGTGTGCGTGGCGATCCGGCCACACTGCCCGGTCCCTTCCACACTCCAGTCACGGGGGAACCACCTGCACATTTTTTGCCATTTCCACGCAAAACGTAACAGTTATTTATTCACTTATTTTCACTAACTCGATCCAATTTCTAATTTACATAAATACACTGGTAAAACTTTATAACCCTGTCGGGGCTCTCAACAGAGTGAACCAATCGGAGACTTTCTCTCCGACAGAATGAGCAGGGCTGAGGAGAAACAAACAGGAGGTGACTGCATCGTCACGCAACGCCACGTCGGTTTTCTTTCCACAGTGATCGGCTGGCCCGCGATCCAAGGCACCACGCTGCCTGGCAGGAGCCAGCGTCTTCCCTCCCAGCCGTGCGGCGCCCGGCCCGGCCAGCCCCACTGTGCCTCCCTCGCCTTGGAAAACACTGGCAGAGCCCACAAGGCACGGGCGAGGCAACGAGTGACTGTCGGCAGTGTCCAGGGGAGGAAAAAGATCTCATTGCACGGAGCCAGCTTAGCTTAGGATGCATTTTCTGTTTTTACCGTCTGATATCTCAGTAAGAAAGGAACGTAAGGGAGCAGAGAGAACCCGGGGCCTAAGGCGGGACGTCTTGAATTCCAACCTCCAGGTCTCTGCAAAGCACGCGCCCGGGTGAGGGTGTGGGGTGAGGGGCTCCGGTTGATCGCCACCAACCCTCAATACTGAGGTCATCGGACGCCCCACTCTTCACAGCCAGGGCCGCGCCTTCTTTTCAAAGATGCACATACTTCAGTTTTTAAAAAATATGTTTTTATTGATTTTAGAGAAAGAGGAAAGGAGAGGGGGAGAGAGAGGAACATCGATGTGAGAGAGAAGCATCAGTCGGTTGCCTCCCACATACACCCCGGGGGGGACCGAGCCCGCAACCTGGGCATGTGCCCCGACTGGGAAAGGAACCGGCAGCCTCCTGGTGCACGGGACGGTGCTCAGCCAACCCAGCCACACCGGCCAGGGCTGCACACTTCGTTTTAAGCAGCATTTTACCCCCCGATATCCTTTCAAGTGAAGTTTGCGGCTGTTTCAAGAAACTGAATAATAATTGGACATCTTCAAACTGAGGTTCCTTCCTGGGGTGCGGCGGCTTCCACACTGACTAGCTTTCACGAGAGCCGCTGGGTCGGGCCCCACACTGTGGATTTCTTGCTCTTCTGTCTGAAGTCTGCTTTCCCAGTTGCAAGAAGGCTGATCAGCTGTCCTCAAGTTTAGAAGGAAACTCCTGTCTCCATGAGCTTCCCCATAGGATGGTCAGAGGGGCCTGACCTTTGGTGAGCTTATGGCCACGGCTTTTCAAGTTGAGGCTTCCCCACCTAAAAGCTTCAGCGCCTTTCATGAGCTGTTTTTCTGTTGTACTATTTGGGCATTAATCCCCTTTTCTTTTGGTAACCATATTTAAAAGGGCTCACCAAGCAGGCTGGTTAGTAAGCTGCTCTCTTCTTTGGTAAGTGATTCTCGATCTTGGCTACCCTTCGGAACCCCCCTTCACCCCACCCAGGGAGGTTTCACATCAACGGACACCTGCCAGCTTGCCCCCAGGGCATCTGATTTGATTGGTTAGTGGTGGGGCCTGGATACCGGGATTTTTGAAAGCTCCCCAGGTAACGTGAAAGTGCACCTGAGATGGAGAACCACTGCACAGGTGAGTGCTTTCAGCCGTCCATGTGCACATGGCAAGTCCCCTGGGAATCCTGCTAAAATGCAGATGCTGACGCAGTGGGTCTGGGGTGAGGGCCCGAGATTCTATGTTTCTTTTTTCTTTCTTTTCTCTTTTGTTAATTCTCACCTGAGGATCTCTTTTCCATTGATTTTTAGAGGAAGTGCAAGGGAGAGAGGGAGAGAGACATCGATGTGAGAGGGACACATCGACTCGTTGCCCCCCACACATGCCCCGGCTGGGAGCAAACCTGCAACCCAGGTACGTGCCCTTGACTGGGAATCAAACCTGAGACCCTTTGGTGTGCAGGCTGACGCTCTAACCACTGAGCACACCGGCCAGGCCGACGGTGGGAACTTCTGACACCTGATGTGAGCTCGGCACTGTGCTGAGACCTCTCATACCCACACATTCCTTCGCTCTCAATCCTCNGCACTGTGCTGAGACCTCTCGTACCCACACATTCCTTCGCTCTCAATCCTCCAACTACATTGCCAGCGAGGTGCTGTTACCAACCCCATTTTACAGGTGAGGAAACTGAGGCTTAAAGAAAGCAAGCAATATGCCCAAGGCTGCTTTCAGCTTTACCTGAGTCCAGGTGGTCCAAGTGCCAGGGGTCAGTGGCGGACGACATGGGGGAGAGGGTGAGCGGGGAGGCCCCGCAGTTGGACTCCACCAGCTCGCCCTGGATGTGCACGTGCGCAGAGGCGTTGGTTTGCCGCAGGGCTGCCTTGAGGGGGGCGATCTGGTTGAACTGGACTCTGGAGAGGCACCCAGTGAATCCCGGGGTGTTGTACTTGTGAATCTCGTGGTCAATCTTCCCTGTTTCTGAAAGAAAAAGACAACATAAGAAATGTTATCCCACTCATGATATTCCGGCTGTAAAACACACTCGTCTGACTGCTTGGGTCCAGATCTTACTCTCGGGGTTCAGGTTAAGGTGTTCTGTTCTTTTAGATGAAATATTAATGACTTGATAAGGCTCAGGCCTGGAGACTTCACTTTAGAAGAACCTTCTGTATTACTAGGGAACCTGGTAGGGTCAGGAGAAGACTGTATTTGATAAAATAAAACACATTCATAACTACCTTCCAGGTACTTGAGATATTGCTGAAACTAACAACACTCACTTGGTTATTTTCTTAAAATATATCTTTATTGATTTCAGAGAGGAAGGGGGAGAGAGAGAGAGAGAGAGAAACATCAATGATGAGAGTCATTGATCGGCTGCCTCCTGCACGCCCCCGACTGGGGATCGAGCCTGAAACCCGGGCATGTGCCCTGACCGGGGGTCAAACCGTGACCTCCTGGATCCTAGGTCGATGCTCAGCCGCTGAGCCACACCAGCCAGGCTGGACTCTCTTTTTTGCTACGCCAACACTTGCTATTTTCTAACAAAGAGGCAACAGATCTCAGGCCTGGATGCTTCAGCAGGCAAAGGTATTGAATTTCATAATATCCCCATAGTATGCTATATATATACATTTACCAATGCTTTATTATTATAGGAAGCGGTACTGATGTTTTATGGTCACAATCACCAACATTTCCTCTTACCATCAATGCTTTTCTTTTTAAAAAAATTAATCCTTACCCTAGGATATTTTTTCCATTGCTTTTCAGAGAGAGTGGAACGGGGAGAGAGAGAGAGGGAAACATCGATTGGGTGCCTCCCACACCCACCCCACCGGGGGCCGGGTATCGAGCCTGCAACTGAGGTACGTGCCCTTGACTGGAACTGAACCCGGGACCCTTCAGTCTGCTGGCTGGTGCTCTAACCACTGGGCCAAACGAGCCAGGGCTCAATGTTTTCCTTCTGACATACGTTTATTTAAGTAAAAACGGTGAATCCATTTGAAGAAAACTATTAAGTAAATAAGTAAAGGAGGTAGCCAGAAATGGCAAAAATGTAACCAGAAATGACAAAAATTATGCCTTTGGCCTCAAATCCCTCCTCTGGGGAGTCGTGCTGTGGAAGAACGTGCTTTCCCACCTCTGTTCCAGGCGCATGGGATTCTACCGTCCTCCCCTCTCTTCACACTTCAGCCCTGTGATTACCCATCTCTCGAGAACATCAGGGTCCCCAGTCCTCCAAAAAGGGGGCTCCGATGGCTCCCTCCCTGGCTCTGCTCCTGGCCCTACCTGGGCAGGTGCTCATTCCCTCTCCATTCGGGCCAGAAGCCGGAACCGCGCCTCTGGCCGATGTCCAGCGGCCCTGAGAGCAGAGACTGGATGTCGCTTATCTTTGTGTTCCCTGACACGTCTACCACAGCACCCGACATGAAGTAACCTCCCCCCCCGTGTCTGTGTGCTCGACTGTAACAGAGACCGCATGACACAGTCCATCAGTTTGCTTGCGTGGGACGGGCGACCACCACGGGGGTTTGGGTCCAGCAGAGTTCGCCGTGGGCCAGCGTCTGCCAGCCCCACGGGGGCAATCGGTGTGGCCTGGGCCCTGGGAAGGGGGAGGGGAGTGGCAAATTCAGATCCGACAGGCCGTGCGTTTATTTCCACAGTGCTGTCACCCGGGCATCTCACTGGAAACGCGCCCATCCCTGAAATGTGTGCGTGCCGCTCTTCAACGGACACTCACCGAGTGACGCTGGCGGGCCGCTGCGGAATCAACTGCCACGGGCCCCACGCGCGGCGCAGAGGTTAGACGGGACCGACGGAGCGAGCGGGCGGTGGGTCTGAAATCGCGGCCCGGGTGAGACTTTAAAGAATTCTCATCAGATCGGACGGGAATGAGGTGGCTGAGTAGTTGAAAGCGTAGCCAGGTTGCTGCTGGGCTGGCACGTGTCCTAAACTGGGACTCCCAGGGGTGGGGCCGAGCACCCGGGTCTCACCCGAGAGAGGAGCTCATGGGCGTAATAAGGTGGCTACAATTTTCCCATTTGGGCACCGCCACGTGGAGCCTGAAGGGGTCCCAGAATTTATGATTCCCAGAATAAATAAATGGGAAACAATCATAACCAAAAGACCTCCCCCGCCCCCAAACACAGCAACAAAAAAGCCGAGCGTTAACCTAAAAAAGCAAAATAAAACCCAGATAAACCTCAGGACCGTAGGACGCACGCTGGGCAGGCACTGAAATGCTGGAACCTGGACTTGAGGTCGGCCTGCAGCGCTCACAGGCTCAGCTTTTTGATCGGCGACGTCTTCCTGACCAGCTGACTTTCAAAAGAGGCACAACTAGGACTCCAGCCACATTCACGACTGATGCGTAACCTGGGCGCCGCATTGTATTAACCCCTGAAAGAAAGGCACTGACGCAAGTTCACTGCTCTCATTCTGTGCTTCTCTCTTACGGAGGAAGGTGGGACTAAAATACGCAGGTGTCACTTAAACGGCTCTTGACCCATGACATTCGTCGACTCAGTTACAAAGAGGCCATCTGCTGGGAGCAACAGGATCTATCCCTCCCACGTTGTCTCTGTAAGCCTTTTCCTAAGGATTGATAAAATCGGTGTGTTTTGTTTTCAGAAACAGCAATAAAAAGAACTGTCTTCTAGGGCGTTGTGGGGGGTGGTGGTTGTGAGGGATTAAGGAAAAAAAAAAGAGACAGAGAGGGGGAGGGAAGAGGGAGGGAGAGAGAGAACTCACGGGCATGGACCACAGCACGGTGATGGGGGGGGTGGAGGTGGGAGAGGGCACAGAGGGGGCTAAATGGTGATAGAAAAAAATAAAATAACAAACAAATGTTATTTGAAATAGGAAAAAAAAAAGTCTTCCTGTGACAACAAAAAGGACATTTTTCTCTGCATAAACTTGTTAGAGCCCCTGAACTTGTGGGGCATACACAGGTTGAAATGGTCATTCTTGTCCCTAAAATCTAGTCTAAGAACTGCAGCCTTGTCATGTTTGCTGGTGAATACAATTCAGTTGTGGTTGCAATACAAAGGGGAAGATAAACCCCTGCCCCGATGCTTCCAGAACACATTGTGCACCACGCAGAAACCGGCCGAAGAGAGATTCTCCACGTTTTCCTGGACGCTCCCAGTTGTCAGTCGAGACAGAAGGCTCGGTGCCCCGTGTGTGCAGCCTCGGGGGCCCTGCGGAAGGCGTGGCTCCTCAGGGCTCAGGATAAAGGCTCCCGGGGTAGCAGGACCTTTCCGAGGAGCAGGCTTAGCTGCCAGTCACCCACGGAGCTGGGCGCTGGGCGCTGGCAATGCAGGTCTGGGCCTACCTCTCAGGGTCTTTGTAAATACACGCTCCGTGTCCCAGCTCTCCGCTGTTGGGGAGCTGAGCACGACGTGTGGCTGTTTCCCACGAACTCGNCTCCGCTGTTGGGGAGCTGAGCACGACGTGTGGCTGAGTTTCCCACAAAAACACAATCAACGGACCTGCTTCTCACTGCGTTTTACTCAACGTCTGCATTTTAACTCGAAGCAGCAGCATAGAAAATCGCCAAAATCCTCAGGACAAAATGACCAGAATCCTCAGGACAAAATGACCAGAGTCCTATGGACGAGACGAGCCAACTGGAATGCAGTCCAGGAGAATAATTCCTTCCTCTGTGTGCCCCGCTTCTGCTAAAACTGCTTATAATTAAATTTATTGGGCTGACTTTATTTTAGGCTTTAGAAAGTCTTATTAAATTGTAGTCAACACCATAAGGAAAATAAGTTTGATATTTTAAGTTTTTTTCCTTAATTCCTCTCCAAACCGTTGAAGAATATTGCAGCCCGGCCCTGGGTTATTTGCAGCCTGCTCCCCGGAGAGCAGGGGAATCGAGGCACCGGGAAAAGCGAAGAAAGGGGGCTGACCTCATGGACCCACGGGCAGCTCATGCAGGGCAGGCGAGGAAAAGTGTGTCAACAAATGTTTGTGTTTCCAGAGAATGTCAACTCGAATGACTCAGTATAACAAAGTGGTTTCCTTCCTTTGTTCTCACCTGAATTTTAATTCCTACCCCAGGAGGCCTCTAAAGCTGTTTTCCCCCAGAGGAAAAAAATCCTTCGAGGAGGAAGACTGCACGAGAGGTAAATATTAACATATTAGGACATGGGTGACTGAGGCTGTGGTTAAGCAAAATGGTTTTCCCAGGGCGACGAGACCTGTCAGGCTCCCAGAGAGAGGGGACGGCTGCCAGAAAGCGTGCTGGGAGGCCCCTCGATTTGCTGGCCACGTTACATCATTAACACAAGAAAGAATTCAAATGTTGGGGCCCTGACCTATGAAAGGATATGCAGAAGACAAAGCGTAAGTGTTGTGAGGCTGAACTGAAACTGGAGCAGATCATCGCAGGAATGTGAACATCACAATTACACCCGCCTGGTGCTACGACGCAGTGGAGTCCAGGCGTGGGTTGTAGGCCTGTGGGTGCAGAACCGTGTTTCTTCCCACACCCCCCTTCTCTGCTCTACCTCTAAAACCAACCCGTTGCTTTCAGGCTGGAGGAACAGCCTGCTAGGTCGGGGGGGGGGCGGACAGAAGCATTCAGAGTCTCTCAGGACACTCTCGCGGTCAAGACAGATCTGTATGGGCCCACAGTAGAAAGTGGAATATGTTAAAAGTAGATTAATAAGGAGATGAACTGCGGGTGGAATTCAAAGAGTGAAAACTGGCTTCAGGGGAGAATTTTCAGGGTGTCATTCCAGGCTGACACTTTATTACTTTACTAATTTGACAAGGACAAGAGCGGCACATGGACCAGCGTGTCATACAGGCATTTTGTAGAAAGGGGTGGTGATAGGTGAGAAGACAGGGTCATGAGCCAAAGGGACTCTGAGAGGCTCAAATCATAGCCTGGATCTAACTAGAAAAGTTTAGCAGAAACAAATACATAATTTCTATAGTTGAAAATACCACCCATCTCCTCCCACCCC